GTGTTGGGGTGTGTTTGTCAGTGTGTGTATGTGTGTGTAGGTGTTGGGATGTATCTGTCAGGGTGTGTGTGTGTCAGTATGTGTGTGTATGTATGTGTTGGGGTGTGTGTGTTGGGGGGGTGTGTCGGGGTGTGTGTGTGTGTCAGTATGTGTGTTTGTGTGTGTGTTGGGGGGTGTGTGTGTTTTGGGGGTTATGTGTTGGGGTGTTGGAGTACGTGTGTCAGGGTGTGTGTGTGTCGGGGTGTGTGTGTATGTGTCAGGGTGTGTGCAGGTGTTGGGGTGCATATGTCAGTGTGTGTTGGGGTGCATGTGTCAGTGTGTGTGTGTGTTGGGGGTGTGTGTATGTGTTGGGGTGTGTTTGTCAGTGTGTGTATGTGTGTGTAGGTGTTGGGATGTATCTGTCAGGGTGTGTGTGTGTCAGTATGTGTGTGTATGTATGTGTTGGGGTGTGTGTGTTGGGGGGGGGGGGTCGGGGTGTGTGTGTGTGTCAGTATGTGTGTTTGTGTGTGTGTTGGGGGGTGTGTGTGTTTTTGGGGTTATGTGTTGGGGTGTTGGAGTACGTGTGTCAGGGTGTGTGTGTGCGTTGCGGTGTGTGTGTATGTGTTGGGGTGTGTGTTGGGGTGTGTGTGTCAGTGTGCATGTGTCGGGGTATGTGTGTCAGGGTGTGTGTGTTGAGCGGTGTGTATCAGGGGGGCTCTGGGATGCTGATGATTTTAGACACAGAAGAGGGACCCCAGGAGAGAGAAAGAAACACAAAGAGGGAATGCGCACACCCAGTGAACACACACAAGGCACACATAACCGCACACACACACCAGCATATACACACGCACACAGAATGCCCATGCAAACAGAATGTACATACACAGAGCACATACACCAACGGGGACACACACACACACAGTGAACACACACCAGCACATACACACACACACACGTCAATGGACACACACACACACAGAGTGCGTACATGCACACAGTGAACACACACAAAGCATGCACACACCAATAGACACACACACACACACAGCCCACAGGAATACAGTGAACACACACCAGCACATACACACACACACACCAACGGCCACACACACACACAGAGCCCACAGGCACACAGAGAGCACTCACATGCACACGCACACACCAGCTCACACACATGCACACACCAGTGGACACACTCACAGTGAATTACACAGGCACGCAGAGCGTGCACTCACCCACATGCACACACAACCCCTCCCCACATGCACACGCCAAGCATGCATGTACACACACACACACACACACACACACACACACACAGAGTCAGCGAGTTCCTGGGACGCTCCCTGAGCAGAGCCTGTCCGGCCCCCCGGGACTGGGCTGCCTGGGGGCCAGGGGGCAAATCCACACACTGGGGCAATTGAGAGAAGGGAGGGGGCAGAACGAGGGGACCCAGCCCCCCTAGCACCCCCCCACATCCAGCCCCCCTGAACCCCCATCCCCAACCCCACCCCCCACAACCCCGCCAGAACTGCCCCCAGACCCCCCAAATCCCCCCCACATCCAGACCCCTGACCCCCACACCCACACCCCCAGAACCCCCCGGAACTACCACCAGACCCCCCCAGAAACCCCACATCCAGCCCGAGGCGAACCCCCACACCCAGCCTGAGACACCCCCCCCCGAACTCCAGCCCCCTGGAATG